GGAAGTCGAAGAACAAACCTTGATACTTCATGGCTTCAGTAAAAGGTGCTCTCCTTTTTATATTTTATCAACTTTTGAAATGGATGAATTTTTTTTCTGAAGATAATATATATTACATAAAAACATTTTTGTACATTTACTTATTCAAAGCTGTCTGATGGCCGCTATTAGGATCCTTCTGATGGCCCCTATCATTCTTCACACGCACTGCCATTAGGGTCATTCTGATATCCTGTCTAAACACACACTTACACAATAATGTGTCTCTTGTTCCCGAAGTAGTCTGTCATATCTGTCATAAAGTTGCTTGTATTATCACACCTTAGCTGTCAATCCCGCCACCACATATATCATATACATTTTGTTTATTTTGAAATTTGTTTGAAGATTATAATCCTCAAAAATCTCTAAAACTTTAATGTGAATTTGATGGGATCCATTTATTAGGCTTTGTGTGGCAGTTTCCTTTATCTACAGTCCTCTGTTGACACACATATCAGGGTAAAGTCGTGGATAAAACGCACAGCAGGAATTGGTTAAACAGTTTCAAGAAATTAAGGTAGCTCACTCCAAACTTTTTCTAAATATTCTAATTTGCCATAACCATTTTAGTCAATACACTTATGCTCAACATAACATTGGACCAGTATCAAATTTCATTGAGAAAAACATTTTGTTATAAATCAAATGATGATAATGTAATGGCACCTGCTATACAGTGATTTTTCCCCTTTATTTCAATTTTATTCCTTCAACTATGAAAAAATTGAGGCCTTCATCCTTTATTATATTTTAATGATGGTAGAAAATAACGGCATTCTGACCCCCAGACAATTGTTATGTAACTAAACTAACAAATAACGAGACCAAAGAACAGAGCAACAAAATCGGTTGCGTGTGCTGATTTCTAAAAGATCAGTACTACTAATGATGGAATCATACTGTGTTTCTGAGGACCAAACATCTTTAACAGATAGTTGAGGTTGCACACTTTAGGGACACTTCCTAAAGGACAACGAAGACAGGACAGTTTTTCCCTGACTTAAATAAATTAATCTCCTCCACTCCTGTGTTGTTATACCAGGGACAAGCATCTTTAATAGATAGTTGAGGTTGCACACTTTAGGGACACTTCCTAAAGGACAACTCAGGACAGTTTTTCCCTGACTTAAATAAATAAATCTCTCCTCCACTCTTGTGCTGTTATACCAGGGACAAGCATCTTTAACGGACAGTTTGGGTCGACCACTTTTGGGACACTTCCCAAAGGATGAGACAGCAAAGTAGCCTGCTTTAGATAACTTTATCTCTTTCCCTCCCGTGCCCCTGACGTTGGCAAGATTGCAGTTACAGGCAGATCTATGAGTCAATCACAAAACACAGTGATCCTAGGGGCTGTCAAGTGGACAGGAGAATACACACAGCTAAATCCCAAGACAAACACCTATTCGTTTCTAGTGGTGAGCCAGGCTATATTCTGGGGCAGTGAACAACACTGTAGTCCTACACTACAGTCAGATAAATATACAACAGGTGGGTTCAAAGCCTTCCAAATATGTATTATTGAGATCTCAAGAGCATTCCGAGCCGTGACAGCCATGTTTTTTATGAAAATTAAGAACAGTATAACTGGGAGTCTGACATTAAATATGACCATGGATGAAGAGGAACGGACCTGTTTTATGAAAGTAATAAACCATTTATGACATTATGAATCAAAGACATCGCTTCTTTACCTGAACTTATAGTTACTTACAATTTCAAAGTTAATGTTATTTGAATATAAAATATATATCTTAAAATAGCTCACAAACTTTTATTTGAAAATGGTCCCAAATGGCCTACAAACTAATGTACTCTCTGTCCTCTGAGAGCGCTATATAGAACAAAACAGCGCTCCAACTGAACTAAGGCGACAACTGATATGCAATGGTTCCTTATATATATATATATATATATAGTTATACCGAGCTTAGCACTGCTATAAATACAGTAACATCTGATACTGGTTATTTTAAAATAGAAAATGTTCACTAAATGACAAAGTAGAATGACAAGAGTATAGATTGACGTGGTGTGTTAGTCTCCAAGACATTGTCAAGATAGATTGCAGAAAACAGGAACGCACCACAAGGAAAATACAAAGAGAAAGAAGAATAATTCACAATCAGAGACTTTACCAGGGTAGAAGAGGAAGGCAGAGAATCCTGAAAATGCTACATAGATCCCTTATATAGGAGTTAGTCAAAAATAGAAAATACAAAGAAACAACAACTATATCCCTTGTTTCTGCTGCTGTCCTGAATGTCAGTGAATTAAGATGACAGTCTGCTCAAGTGTTAAATTGACGTCAGGGAGAAACACAAAACAGGTTGACAGAATATACACAGTACAAATACCACGTGACAACAGATATATTATATACAGGCCATCTAACTCACAATGTTGTCAATCGATGTGAAACTGGTTGCTAAGCAAAGGTAGCATACCGTTACCATGGTGAACAAACAAAAGTGCATAGCAACTGTTGTTACGGTCTCAGGCAGCAACTACCATTACCATGGTGACCAAACAAATGTGCAGAGCAACTATCATGATTTTGGTTGCTTCAATCATTGTACCATTACCATGGTGACAAAAACCAAAAAGTGCATAGCAACCACTGTTACCTTGACAACATACATGAGCAAACATCAAAGGCAGCACATTGTAGGAAGGAAGATATAAGCCCGCAGGAAGAGGAGGATTATAATGGATGTAAGAGGCTTCTTACAGTTGTTAGTATCGTAACAAAACAGCTATCGTTTTCAACAGAATATAACGATTACAAAAATGATTAAACATTTAACCACTAAATTTTGTTCAAGCATCCATAAACACTGATATTACTGGTTCAAATTTATAATATCTTTATTACTGCTTCAAATTAATAATATTTTAACTATATTGTCCTGTCAATATTAGTACATTGTATAAACCTGTACAATGGAAGAGATTAGAAAAGTATTAATATACAAATGTATATATATTGTGCAGACTAATGTGTAAATATTTTGTGCACAATCTTTAATAAATGAATTTCCAACAGAGTGTAGATTTTAATCCTCCTCATTCCCTTGTCATGCTGATTATGGGTAGAACCACCACTCAGGGTTAACAGTAGTGCAGTATATGCCAAAACTACGCTGCAGGTCGCAGTACATGTCTGCCCTCGCTTAGTGAAGGGCGGTACTTACAACAAAACGACACCCAGCTTCCAGTACGAGGACAAATGTCGTTGGGGGTTCACCCGGTGTGAAAATCCATCAATGAAATTAACAATCGTGTAAAGAAAACAAATATAATACGATGGTGACTACAGTACAATGTTGAGGTGTGCTCTACAGAATGTTTGTTACGTATTGGGTATAAAATATTACACAGAGGGTGCATGTACAACATCAGGGTCAGATATATGTCTGTGTGTGTAAACACACTAAATACCTTTTATTTTATCTATACTTATATTTGACTTAACTCATTCACCCCTGAAATTTCATAATGAACTATTCCAACCTTTGAATTGGAAGAGCTCAAATGTGTCTTCAGGGGTGAATGAGTCAAAGAAACTTACTTGTCTATAATTAGCAGTTACTATGTTGTTTTTACTAAGTAATATTGATAAATTGTATGTACTACAGAACCTCACAGACACTGTTAGCAACATCATGCACTATCTACCGCCATTACAACTAGCTATGGCATCGATGAATATATGTCATTCTGCAATTGTCAACTAATTTGAGCACAATACAGTGTACAAATGTAATGCACAGCTACATTCATTTAAAACATAACCCAGTTCATTTTTTCGTTGCTTAGAAATCTAATTTTACTGCATCAACAGTGGCATTTTCCTAAGTTTAACAGAATTAAATAGGTATACACACTCTAGAAATGGCCACTAGACCTATAGCCGATCTAATCGTAGCAGCTAGGTACACATTATTTTAATTTTAGATGGACTCACATTTACATAAATTGTCGCAGTGTGGAAAGGTTGCCTCCCTGAGCCCATGTTATTAGTGCCTAGATAAGTATAAACTTGTGCCACACTGTTTAGTAGGCAAATATGTCACAAAAAGCACATTCCTCCTTGGGAAATTTAGTCTATATAGTGACTTTTTTTCAGTTTGCAGTCCCATATCATTTCTGATACAGCAGATTCTAAGACTATGACAGAATTCAATGCTTGAGTTGTCATGTTATTTGCAGTTGCTTTGTAACTTGTACTATGATATAAAAAAAATGTTCAATATTTCAAAAGTGTCTTAGTTTTTCTGAGGGCATTTTGAAAAACACAGCAAATAAAGAAAACCTCATGCATGCATAAAAACAGAACATATTTATTTTAAGCATTTTCGATGTCTACAAAGTGAAACAGTTCTGTAATTTTTTTCCCTCAGGAAGTCAAATTTATCATTGAATTCTGTCATTGTTACACCAAAAAGCACTTCAATATGTTAATGAAGTTTTGTGTTAGTTTTCAAACCATGGATGTAAATTTCAAATCAGATGCCATTCACCTGCATCTACTGTACAAACACACAGTCTAATTATAAACACACAAGACAGGGTCAAAGGTCAAAAACGGAAACATTTTGATTATATAGCTCATATAGAAATATGAATAAATGAACAACTATCTTTATTAAAGGTATAATTAGCCCTTTAGCATGTACTTAAATTATTATCAGTTATCACCAAGAGATAATTTACAAACCAAGGTTTTCCAAAACTAATATGAATATGATCAAAAAAGTTAAAATAACCATTAAAGGATTAGATATGTTTATCCAAGAAATAGATATTGAAAATATACTGGATACACTTTAAACTCATATTGATAACACAAAAAGCTTTATATCAGAAACTGCTGCGTATGTGAACAGAATATATAAAATAAAACGTTAATTCTGAGGAGATCTTTCCTACGTATACTATGGTACTCGTGAACTTACTTTCCGCCGACGACACATTGTACTCCGGACTGGTGGGATTGGTGTTGTGTGATGTGTATGGTGTCCGGTCGGACTTCCGCCCAGTGGCATATTCTGGACTTTCCGGCCGAACAGAACTCCGACTACTGTCAACATCCTGGGCCTCAAGTAAGAACAACTCTGGTGCATAGCTCTGGAAAATAGAACAAAATCATGATTACAAGGAAAACATAAAAGTATCTTCATGCTTAAATGCAGATTCCATGCTCAAACTAAATTCCTAAGTCAAGCTGGAAAATACCTTGTTAGTTCTTATTTTTCATACCTAGTTGGCACTCAAAACTATTACTTTTCAATCCTTTTGATAAATTACACATTATACAGATGGTTTGAGCATGTTACTGAGCACACTGCTTCAGTTTGAGCATGTTACTGAGCACACTGCTTTAGCTTGAGCATGTTACTGAGCCCACAGCTTCAACTTGAGCATGTTGCTGAGCACACTGCTTCAGTTTGAGCATGTTACTGAGCACACTGCTTCAGCTTGAGCATGTTACTGAGCACACAGCTTCAACTTGAGCATGTTACTGAGCACACTGCTTCAGTTTGAGCATGTTACTGAGCACACTGCTTCAGCTTGAGCATGTTACTGAGCCCACAGCTTCAACTTGAGCATGTTGCTGAGCACACTGCTTCAGTTTGAGCATGTTACTGAGCACACAGCTTCAACTTGAGCATGTTACTGAGCACACTGCTTCAGCTTGAGCATGTTACTGAGCACATAGCTTCAGCTTGAGCATGTTACTGAGCACACTGATTCAGCTTGAGCATGTTACTGAGCACACAGCTTCAGCTTGAGCATGTTACAGAGCACACAGCTTCAGTTTGAGCATTAATGCTGAGTACACAGCTTCAGTCGAACACTACAATTAAGCACACAAGTTTCAGTTTGAGCAATTTCCTACTGAGCACACAACACAGTTGGATCACTACAACTGAGCAAACAGCTTTATTTTGAGCATGTAGATTGTTTCATGAATATAGATCCTGGTTTCAGCATGATTATGCTAATATTTCCCTATCACTAAATATGTATTAAGTTTTTTAAATTGTGTCCACGCTCATTTGTATTTCATAAATAAAATATGTTTAAATCAAATCTTTAGTAATTGTTTCAGAATACAAGTACTGCAAAAAACATACATGTATAGGAGTTCTAATCAGTCAGATGATCGTTATGGCATTGTGTTCTTGCTATACTTATATTGTCCTCGATGCTCAAGAGGTTACGATCACTTACGCTCTCTGCACCCCTAGAATATGTCATAGTAATTTATAAAGTTGAAGGCACACAGCTAGCTATTTGATTGGTCTCAGGTAAAAACACACAGCCAATCGCTAGGCTGTTACCAGTTCTTTGAAGATTACAGAGGAGTGACATCCGACTTCAAAGCCAGTTAAATTTAACATTATGCTAGTGCCGACAAATTCTTTTGATGTACATCAAAGTATCAAACTTTGTCTCATCCACAAGGTGGCAGACACTGAGACTTCAAATTTTGTCATAACATATTTCAGGTGTGCAGAGAGCGTAAGTGAGCTATCCTCTTGAGTCTCGAGGATGTACTGATACACATGTACACAAGGGTATCCAGGTATTTGTACTGTAGCAAGATAACAGTACCGGGTAATATCATCACCAACTAATACCTACCTGAGGTGGTATGAAATTCTTTACTTTCAACTGATATTCCTGATTCCCATTCAACTGAAATGTAAAATAAATTATCGTCAGTATTGAAACAAAGCTACTACCGGGTAATCGTGTTTCCTCCGCTGTGTACATTGGTTTTATAGATTGACAAAATGTTCATATTTCAAAATATTTTTTTTATCAAGGATAGCATAACATGTAGAAATGATTTACAATGTTGAACTTTATGTTATAAACAGCACAAGTACCCTAGATTATTAAGATTACAAATTTCTCAACTAATGTTCTTGGCACGGCCGTGAAAGTCGCCCCCCCCCTCGCCCTTTCATGGAACACATAAAACTGCCAAGACAAGATTAAATGTCAACACAGTTAAATTTATTTGATTTTGTACTCTTACACTGTTATTATTTCAACACCTCGATTCTTCATTGTGAGTGATAATTTGACTGTCATTATCATATACTACGCACTGAAAGGGGTGTCATATTTCATTTATATCCAACCTACCAACACTTTACGGAGACCTACAATATTTGACCAACAATTACATTACATATTACCCAACTGTACATAACATATCTATACAGCAACACTTCCTCAGTCATTACATTTTTCTGCACTAAAAGATCAGAAATAATACCTTATCATAAAAGAAATGCTGTAGGTATTTTTGTTCTGACTGTACATGCAAATTTTCATATTTTTTTAATATTTTTTTTGTAAAGTTTTTTCTCCTCATTTTGTTTTTGATACTTTGTTTTGACGAAATACAAGCTCTTTGTAGCTTATGTTGTATGTCTGCAATAGTTGAAAGAAACAATGATTCTTGTATATTGTTGTATATTGTAGTTTAGCTAATGCTGACATCAGTTTTTTGTGAGACGACTTTTGAGAGTTTCACCCAGTGAATGTTAAACAGAATTTTAAAAACCATATCCTTTTACACTACGATCACCATTTCAGGACCACTACAAGCTTGAAAGATATATCCTCTATCTACGACAAGTAAAGACAAGTGAAAAAACCTCTTGGTTATGATAATTTACAAAGAAAATAGGTTTTGTCAAGGTTTTTTAAGTACATGAACATGCAGCTGTGAAAAAGGAAACAATTTCAAAACTGATAAAAATCTTGGACTGGCTAATTAGGTAAGGGAGGTGATTATATTGCCATGTATATTTCTGTCAATCATTGTGTAATCACCAAAAAGCCACTCCGTGAGAAAGTGTTAGAGATCACGTAAAGCGATAAGTCTTATATATTATATGGGCTCTATTCTCCAATAAAATAAAAACCGGATTCTAAACAACATGTACCAGCTGGTATACAAAAAATGCTGAGTCTTATTTCAGGACATGACCCATTTCTGTAAAGTTCAACGGTTATTAAAGAAACGGGTGAACTTCAGCTAAGCATGGGCTTATTTCAGAGAAATTATGGTAAAAAAATTCAATATCAGATACGTGAGTTGTCAAGTTCAAACTGACGAGATTTCACTGAATTTTAATCCTGGTCTGACACTCCTCTTTGGGGATTTTTTATTTTTATTTATCAAATGTGTATCGTATAATAAATATATTTAAGTATGCACATTTCAGGATATAAGGGCCAAGTTCTGTCATTATTGGTAATTAGGCAAGCTTTGAGTATGCATCCTTAAGCTTTGGAAATTTATTCTTAAAGCAGTAAAACGATGAAAAGGAAGAATGTACCTGTAGCAAACAGATTTTACGAGTCCTGTATGGTTGTAAAGTGTTAGTATGAAAAGGGCACCTAATCCGTACAGATAACGGGGATCAGTCATACATTTTATGTCTCTCACTCGGTAAAGAAACCTGAATTCAAATGCCACAGATCAATCCCTGTATTCAAAGAGCAAGTATAATCGTCACATAATCATAAATGTGTTTTAACGACGACTCTGAGAGCCGAGCAATTCTGATATTGCTAAGTTACAGACATTTTATAGGGTTGTATCAATATTGCCCTTAAAGATCAAATGTTTTAAGCCATCAACAACAGTCGGCAAAGAGAGCAAATCCGAGTCCTTCACGGAATATCAACAAAATCAGGACTCGTTAAAGTTTTATAAGTATTTCTGATTATCCTACTTGTTTAACGTAACCTGTTCTAGATCTACCTGTGTTAAGTTATATTGTCAATATAGTAAACATAACTTTGACCTTGACACTTATGATCGAAACACAAGAAATACCCTCAAACCAAAGTGTACAGTATAACTAGATGACTACTGTAAAAATACTGCCCAATCAAGTTTTCACCATTCACCCACGAAATCAATATTCACCCAGTGCTAATTTCGCCCTTCACATTTAGTTACTATGTGTATATTATGCTGTTTACTTATATTCGCTTTGAACTGATAAATTCACCCTCATTATGGAGGGCGAAAAATGAAAATTAAACCTCAGCTAAAATTTCCGGTATACAGTACCTCAATTAATTTTCAGAGATTTTTTTCTTTGAATCAATACAAGTGTTTTTCAACAACTTTACTTTTTATCAAAGTCCAAATTTGTCCTGATGTCATGGCCTTAAGGGGAAAAGAGTTCCAAAATAAGGCATTGTATCTCCAACAAAAACCCTACAGTATATTATTGACTTGGATTTGCTTGCTAATTTACTCTAGCAAAGATAATATACCAAAGAAATAGATCTATATTTTCCCTCTCTCACTAAACATCGTGGCCACAGGGTATTGATCAAGAACCTCTTGATTATAAAGCATGCAGGGAGCTAACACACTATCCTACCAGTTAAGGCATTTGTTATATTAATTCTCTTTTCCGCGACATTACTTTGAGTGATTTCAAAATGTTCTAACTCCATATGAATTAGGTTTGCATCATATAATTAATATAGAGAAATAACATAAATTAACAGGAAATGACATTTGAACAACTGTATATGGTCATTTAGAAAAAGGTGGAACTCTCAATACCTTAAAGTTTTGTAAGCGTAAACCAGCTGGGGAAATGTCACTCAATTACTGGAGTTTACATAACTGTATTTGGCGGTGAGACTGTGTGCAGACCTTTAACTACCACAATGTAAATCTATTAATATTATTGCCAGTAAAGTTTGTTTTCAACATTCCAGGCAGGTACTCTTACTAAATCTCTATGAAGCATGAAAATAAATTCCAAACATTACATCTGAACCAGCCTTAATTTCCTTTAATGGCAGATACACCTTTATCCAACACTCTTACTGTTATAACCATTAAGATACAATGTATATATATTGAAAATCAATTAAGATCTGATTTTTCCCTTTCTTATCTTCTGAACACAAGTTACTGTTTCTTTTGTAATCATCCTAACATACCCAAAAAGAAATGATTGAAGGCGACTCAATATGTGTAATCCGTGGCACAAGTCTAGCTTATTGGCCAAATTAATCAATTACGAAAGTTGTAGGTTATGTATGGAGTGGGAATCAATCATTGTGCCTTTGATAGAATACAGGGTGAAAGGGTACAGACTATTGACAGTCTTGTTCTCGCGAATTACAAAAGGAAAAGGACCAGAAAAAAATATATATAATATAATCAGTTTTTAATTAAAATGATTGTAATGGACAGGATGGTGAGGAAATTCGACACAGGCTTAATTGGATGTGGGTCTGCTACAAGTATGCTGGATCGTTTGATTAAACATGGGAACACTTGGATTTCTTCCCACAGAACAAACAAGCTTTAATGGGACATTGGATATCCTTCACAGTCTATATTAGCCATCCAATTATTGAATAGTCTAGTAGTTTCACCAAGGCAGACAATCGTTAAGTTTCATACTCTACGAAGTCTTCCTTACATATATGTAAAACAGTGTATATTTCAACTTGCTACTTAAAAAATGTTACCCTGTCATGGTTGTATACTTGGTATTTGCTAATCAATCCTACTTTGTCATTGGCTTTATTCTGCCTATTTGCTATTCAATCGTTCTGTCATTGACCTTACTCTACCTACTTGCTATTCAATCCTAACCTGTCATTGGCTTAAGTCTTTTCCCCAATAGGTAATAATGGTTCAATAGGTGGTTGTTACAATAGGTGGTTGGTACAGCAAGAGATTGTTACTATAAGTGGTCAGTACACTAGATTGGTGCAAAACAGTTGGTTGGTAAAAGAGGTAGTTAACCAGTACAATAAATGTTTGACACAACAGAAGGGTGGTTTAATATTCTGTCAGTACAACGGGTGGTTGGTATAATATTCTGTCAGTACAATGGATTCTGTCAGTACAATGGGTGGTTAATATAATATTCTGTCAGTACAATGGGTGGTTGGTACAATATTCTGTCGGTACAATGGGTGGTTGGTATAATACAATGGGTGGTTGGTATAATATTCTGTCAGTACAATGGTTGGTTGGTACAATATTCTGTCAGTACAATGGGTGGTTGGTATAATATTATGTCAGTACAATGGGTGGTTAGTACAATATTTTGTCAGTCAAATGGGTGGTTGGTACAATATTCTGTCAGTACAACGGGTGGTTGGTATAATATTCTGTCAGTACAATGGGTGGTTGGTACACTATTCTGTCAGTGCACTGGGTGGTTGGTATGATATTCTGTCAGTAGAATGGGTGGTTGGTATAATATTATGTCAGTACAATGGTTGGTTAGTACAATATTTTGTCAGTCAAATGGGTGGTTGGTACAATATTCTATCAGTACAACGGGTGGTTGGTATAATATTCTGTCAGAACAATGGGTGGTTGGTATAATATTATGTCAGTACGATGGGTGGTTAGTACAATATTTTGTCAGTCAAACGGGTGGTTGGTACAATATTCTGTCAGAACAATGGGTGGTTGGTATAATATTATGTCAGTAGAATGGGTGGTTAGTAGAATATTTTGTCAGTCCAATGGGTGGGTGGTACAATATTCTGTCAGTACAATTGGTGGTTGGTACAATATTTTGTTGGTACCATCTATGACAGTGTGCAAGATCATGACTTTCTATTCTGTGACGACTCTCACTCACCTTGGCTATACTCCTGCCCACACTTTTTAAGGGTGGTTGGTACAATATTCTGTCAGTTCAATGGGTGGTTGGTATGATATTCTGTCCGTACACTGGGTGGTTGGTATAATATTCTGTCAGTTCAATGGGTGGTTGGTATGATATTCTGTCAGTAGAATGGGTGGTTGGTATACTATTCTGTCAGTACAATGGGCGGTTGGTATACTATTCTGTCAGTACAATGGGCGGTTGGTATACTATTCTGTCAGTACAATGTGTGGTTGGTATGATATCCTGTCAGTACAATTGGTGGTTGGTACAATATTTTGTTGGTACAATCTATGACACTGTGCAAGATCATGACTTTCTATTCTGTGACGACTCTCACTCACCTTGGCTATACTCCTGCCCACACTTTTTAAGGGTGGTTGGTACAATATTCTGTCAGTGCACTGGGTGGTTGGTATGATATTCTGTCCGTACACTGGGTGGTTGGTATAATATTCTGTCAGTATAATGGGTGGTTGGTATGATATTCTGTTAGTACAATGGGTGGTTGGTATGATATTCTGTCAGTACACTGGGTGGTTGGTATGATATTCTGTCAGTACAATTGGTGGTTGGTACAATATTTTGTTGGTACAATCTATGACAGTGTGCAAGATCATGACTTTCTATTCTGTGTCGACCCTCACTCACCTTGGTTATACTCCTGCCCACACTTTTTAAGAAGACATATTCCCTGGGTACTAGTTCTGCTCCTATCTGTTTGTCAATTTCATTCCGTAACAAAATGACCTTCTGCTCGGGATGGACCCTGTAAGTAACGAAAACAAAAGACATAAAATCAGCAACACATAGTCACCATACATATACAATCCACAGAGAAAACTTTCTGTGTTCCTGTTGGGAAAGTTGTTATTACGTGTCTTTATAAAATACTTCAAATCTAACAAGGTATCTATCAGCAAAACTTATTATTACCTACTCATCATGATGGATAAAAGGTTTTGGATTTTTACACTTAAAGTTGTTGAATTAGTGGTTGGTTGTTGGTGCCGGGTGCTTTGTTGTTGTTGTTGTTGTTGGGTGTGCAGTGGTTGTATGTTTTTGCAGGGTGGTTTTTAATGGTGTAGGAAGGTTGTTTGCAGGTGTTGTGTTGTTGTTTGTTGATGTGGGGTGGGTGTTTGTTGATGTTTGGTGTTTTTTTGTTTGTGTGGGGTGGTATTTTTGTTGGTGTGGGGTACCTGTGGTGTTTTATTGGTGTTGGAAGGTTGTTTGTTGGTGTGGGGTGGTATTTTTGTTGGTGTGGGGTACCGGTGGTGTTTTATTGGTGTTGGAAGGTTGTTTGTTGGTGTGGGTGGTATTTTTGTTGGTGTGGGGTACCAGTGGTGTTTTATTGGTGTTGGATTAGGTTGTTTGTTGGTGTGGGGTGGTATTTTTGTTGGTGTGGGTTACCGGTGGTGTTTTATTGGTGTTGGGAGGTTGTTTGTTGGTTTGGGTCAGATTCGTGTTGGTGTGGGGTACCGGTGGTGTTTTATTGGTGTTGGGAGGGTGTTTGTTGGTTTGGGTCAGATTTGTGTTGGTGTGGGGTACCGGTGGTGTTTTATTGGTGTTGGGAGGTTGTTTGTTGGTATAGGGTGGTGGATTGTTGGTTTGGGTCAGATTTGTGTTGGTGTGGTTATGTCATTTGTTGTTGATGGGTGGTTGTGTATTGGTGTGCAGTGGTTAATTGTTTATTGGTGTGGGGTGGTTGTTTGTCTGTGTGTCATGGTTTTAATACCTGATAATTCCGGCTGATACTGTTTCTGTGACATTCGCGTTGAGGAAGTTGTTGTAGCGCTCTCTCCATAGGTTGTGTGGTACCAGATATACATGTAGATCTACCAACTGAAAAACGACACAAGTCATTAATACATTTTACATTCAAGAAATTCTATACTTATTTTACAAAATACTAATTAAATGTTACGCTACATATATTATATTTCAGATATTTAAATAATGCAGTTTTGCTGAGATGAATAGGATATCTGATCTATATGTACTAAAGAAAAACAAAAGCACATGGCCATGTGCGACCAAAATACAATTCAATGTAGGAATTAGTTTGTGATCATTTCTTAAAAAGCTTAAAAAAATAACAATCATTCTTGGAATCATCTAATCTTAGCTATTGTGAGGTGACCTTGACCTTTGACACAAGGTAAGAACTTCAGTATCAGTGCTGAAGATATACATTAAGTGTATACAATGTATTTAGCGACCCACCATAACATGGAAGTGTGTATATACGGACAAACCATATATAGGGACGGTACATAATAATAATGAACACTATAATTATTACTAGATCCCATCTCTCTGCTGATAATGTTTTACTGCATGTGTAATTGGTGTTAGAAATAAGAATGATAGACATCTACAGACCAAAATGCTAAATTACCACCTTATATTTTTTTATTTTTAAGAATGAACTGAAATGAAGCAGATTCGACATCAGGCACATACAACTTAATTGCCTTTAACTTTTAAATTGAATGACTAAAACTAATAAAGGTTTATGCAAATTTTATAATGGATATTTTTTTTAAAATATTACGACAACATCTCCTACAGAAATGTATTCTACTGTTGGTTTCTTAATTATGCATATATTTTTCTTTCTGAAAATCCAATATAATACTAAAACCAATATATAATATTTGTATCATATGACTGCAGTGTATGGAATGCTGGCCCTCAGCCATATGCAATGTTTTTGATACATGATTGATTTCACAATAACAAATGTGTCTGCATCACAGAAGTTAAGGCTGAATTAGAACATGTGCATGCGTGTACGTGAAAATGATAAAAACTAGGCATGATATGTTTAAATTAGATCAGTTGTGACATTCAACTTTTCAACTTCATACCCAAGTTCCAACCCAAAGATCGCAAACAAATACCCACAAACACATTACAACTTCGTAAGCCTATAAAGCTATCAAGCCTCTTAACAGAACTCGTTATACATACCAGTGGTGAGTTAATCGTTTACTAATCGCACACACCCTGGTATACGTACTGAACACAACAAACAGGCAGAGGCGACATAAACAATCTACGTAAATCACATTTATTTGCCCTTGAATTTGTTCGCTATTATACTTTTTTTTTATAAATTGACGTAATGTTAACACGTAAGTCTCGTAAGTCTCGGAGAAGGAGAGGATTTACGGGAGCAGCGATACGTCAATGTTGGTTAAATCCCATTTCCTGTTGTGTTAATCATTTATATCCCAGTACACTTTTAATCGTAATCCCAGATCTTTAATATACCCTGGATCAGACTATGTTTACAGGACTATATACTCAGATGATTTATGGGACCTTTATAATACACAGCTATATATTATCATATTGACCAATCGGACGCTTCACTAATGGTAAACTATTCTGTCATTGTTAGCTAATGTATGCCTTTAATGTTTTGTGATCTAACATATTTTGACCAAATTTGAAATGTGACAATACAGTTCAGTACACATTAACATGGTTTTTATCTTTTTTATTCAGTAATGAAATAAAGATCTCAGCATTATTTTCTAAATTCAGATACTTATTTAATATTCAATTATTCGTCTTATTAATTACTACTGTATATTCAAGTTAACTTGACATTATTGATTTGGTGGTGATGGGGCGTCCATTAATATTTTTCTATCCAAACATCTGACTGAAAACAGACTTCTGGAAGTAATTGTAACTGCCTTTGGAGTAGATAATATTTGTAATACTGAAACACAAAGCTTATAACTCAACCTGTATAAGCTAAAGCATACTCGGGACCCAGACATGATCCATAAATCTGTATCAGCCTGGATCTTGAATTACAAGTTATAGTTGTTATGTAATGCAGCAAAGTGGGAATCATGATAAAGCTAAATGAATTGGAAAATTGTTAAGTTTATGGAGGGATCATGCATACTCGATCCCGATCTCTGTGGGAAATGGATCAATAACAAATTCTGGGGTCCGTATATTCCACTGATAAATCAGTTGAGTATATACTTAACATGCAAATCTTTTGAAAGCTGTTAGAGTATGTTTACGTAAATAGGATCCTCGAAATCCGAAAACTAAGTGATTTCTCCGTGCTTTATGTTTGTATGCAGGGTCTCTTTTTTAATTAAACAGTAAAGATAAAAGAGGAGAGTTGATGGTTACAGGTTTATATCATTTCACTACTGGACACTTCAGGCGACCGTTATCCTATGTACAATTAAAATCTGCCACATATCCTTATACAGGTATAACATACAGGTATAACATACAGGTATAATAAACAGGTATAGTATACAGGTTAAACATACAGGTATAATATACAGGTATAACATACAGGTATACCATACAGGTATTATATACAGGTTTAACATACAGGTTTAACATACAGGTTTAACATACAGGTATACCATACAGGTATAATATACAGGTATACTATACAGGTATAACATACAGGTATTATATACAGGTATACTAATACAGGTATAACATATAGGTATTATATACAGGTATACCATACAGGTATAATATACAGGTTTAACATACAGGTATAAAATACAGGTATTATATACAGGTATAACATACAGGTATTATATACAGGTATATCATACAGGTATTATATACAGGTATAACATACAGGTATAATATACAGGTTTAATATACAGGTATACCATACAGGTATAACATACAGGTTTAACATACAGGTATGACATACAGGTATAATATACAGGTTTAACATACAGGTATAACATACAGGTATTATATACAGGTATAACATACAGGTATTATATACAGGTATATCATACAGGTATAATATACAGGTTTAACATACAGGTATAACATACAGGTATAACATACAGGTATTATATACAGGTATAACATACAGGTATACTATATATATACAGGTTTAACATACAGGTATGACATACAGGTATACTATACAGGTATAACATACAGGTATTATATACAGGTATACCATACAGGTATTATATACAGGTATAACATACAGGTAAAATACATTTATTACATATATCAAAATATGTAAAACATAGATCTGCCCTTTTGTTATTTAAAGATTCAATTGTTTAACTTCAGATTTTATTTTTTTGACAATTACAAAATATTAGTGTTTTACACTGTTTACTTTTGTTTTCAATCTCAAAATAATCAGATTTCATTTTGAGTTTTGACTTTGAGTACTTGGAACATATATATGTATATAACAGTTAGCTAACACTCATGGGCTTAAACCTATGTTGACTTGGAACTGATCCCAAACTCTCCAATCTATCAAAGACACTCAGTCTGGGGGTGACAAATTAACATGTTTACCACCTGCTTGACTTTCTCGTACTTTATAAACATCATCTTAAACATTGACCTGCCTGACTCCCGTTAATAACTAATGTCTATAGAGAGATAAGATCACGGACATTTCCAAAATTTCATAAACCATCAATGCTGAGAGCTTTCGATAAAACCTACTTGCATACATAATTAATAGTCACAGGACATAAATAGTCTTCAACATCCTCATATTTCACCGGCAGCAATTAACACAAGTAGTTTGGAGATTAAATATGGGGAATCGTTAGAGAACATACTGTATAATGAATGTAAATCGGACAGAAGTACACCAAATGCACACATGTTAAACCAATGTCTATATGACGATACGACTAATGTATGTTAACTTCCAATACACAAAATGAATTATCCAAAGTACAAATATTGATAAGAATGGATGATTAGTAAATTTGACATGGAGAAGTACTACTGCTGATGTGCCTGGTAATGTTTATAAAGTCACAAGGAGGCAAGGACAAGCCTTAAACAACAAACAGATTGTTGCCAGGGTAGTTAAGAAGCCTCTTTGGTAAAGACTCAAGATTTGTGATGGAAACGGCAAATGTTTACTGGAATAAATGATATCTATTTATTGAACCCAAAGAATCGAAACGTCCGAGGCAGGTTTGTCACTTGTTCAGGACTGTGCTTCAAGAATGAGGCTATAGAACAGTAGTAAATTGATTCCTGACTTTGGAGTGAATAGGTATATCAGTGCGGGATGGACTAACATGTTCCTGTTAAATATCGTCTTGTTTCAATGGCCGAAAGAAACAGCATATTAATCAATTCAGCGTTGAACAAATGCTTTACGGTCAGGTTTTGAATAACTTAACTCCTTCACCCCTGAAATTTCATAATGAACTATTCCAACATTTAAATTGGAATTGGAGTTCAAATGTGTCTTTAGGGGTGAATGAGTTAAAGATCCCTTCCAATGTTCAGCCCAAACTCCCATGCTAACACTGTTATGTATACACTACTATGATTTTATTCTGTCAACACAGTAAGTTTGTATAAATTGTTATATTTCCTCCACAGTATATAGCAAGCACACTACACTACATAGGACAAATATTATTAAACAGCTGGAAGAAATTGACCAATTTACCAGAAAGACTATTACTCTTCAACATGTAGACACAGCAACAATACATATTGTAGCATTAAGTATTTAGATCATATCTTGAACGACAAATAGGTAGCCATTAGTGAAATTGATATTAGAGGGTTTATAATGTCCCTGGGGAGCTACAAGCCTTATATGACGGGATTCCCGTCAACAAGGCATTGTTTGGCAGACAAATATTGGTACGGCACTTTTCTTTGTGGATAACACGACCACTGTGGACCTAACAAACAGAGGGGACGGTTATTAGTAATTTAAGGTTTGTCTGATATAAACCTTACACTATGTACAAATAAACAGTGGATCTTACAAATACATGGTTGAAGGTTTGTCTGAAAACAGAATTCAAAATTCTCACAATGGTACT